GAGTTTTGAATTGTGATAATTTCCAGTAAATATTTTGGCAAGTATATTTCTTAGATATATGCAGCTCTATGTGCCAGGTAGAATTATATCTGAGTGCTATTATGCTGAACGCATCACTGTTAAGACATATTGGTACATGTGTTACATATTCTACTCTTGCTGAACAATGCTGTGGTCTAAAAATTATATTTTTATATTATCACTGAGAAAATGTAAATCAAAATTAGCTTTTGTTTATTACCTCTTAGTCCCCCCTTTCCCAGCCTGATGCCTTCCAGATGTGTTGGACTATAACACCCAGAATATACTAGCCAGTTGGGGTGGGGGATTCTGGATGTTGTAGTCTTACTACATCTGGAGGGGGCCAGGTTGGGGAAGGCTGCCTTAGGCTTTAAAACACAGAGAACAAACTGGAATTATAAGGCATTGTTGCTAAAATTTTGTTTTTAATTGCAGCAATTGACATATGGTCTACAGGAATAATATTTCTTTCTTTGTTGAGTGGCCGGTATCCATTTTACAAAGCAAGTGATGATTTAACAGCCTTGGCACAGATTATGACCATTCGTGGATCCAAGGAAACGATTCAAGCTGCTAAAACATTTGGTACACGGGGAGGGGATTGGGGTGGGGGGTTTCTGTCTGTTTGAAGCTATCAGTTTGCTGTTTCTCTGTAGATAATATATCTTTATATGCCCAGAAACTTGCATAACTTCAGATAAAACAGCATTGTATTCATTAATCTAAACATCAGAATTGGAACACCTCAGGTCAATTTCAGTAATAGCAATAGACTTTTGTAGAAGTAGAGTTAAACTATAGGTTTGCAGCTAAAGATGTGAAGGACTATTTCTAATCAATGTCCACTGTTCTTTGTTATCATCCAGCCCTCTTAAAATCTTCCCATTTTTGCTTCATTCCTCAGTATCACTTTATCTTCTATGCATTCTGCCATAGGCTTCTTTGCTTCTCTTAGTCCAGGGATAGGCAACCCTGTGCCCTTCATATGTTTTGGAGCAGAACTGCCATATTTTTTGACTGTTGATCATGCTGTCTGGGCAGATTGTAGTTTTAGACCAGAATACCTGGAATGTGTCTTGTTGTCTACATCAGCCTTAGCTTTCTCAGATGCTGCTTCATTTGCTAAGCCCCTCCTTCTGCTTGCCTTTTTTAGTTTAGTTGGGGTGCTATTCTATGTACAGTGGTACCTCGGCTCATGAATGCCTCAGTTCATGACCAAATCAGGTTGTGAACAGAAATTTCAGAAAAAAATTTCCTCAGGTGCTTTCCCTGGGTCATATACGCGTAGTTTGCGGTCAGATCCCTCATTTTCAAAGCAGTCTGGCACCAACGATAGGAAAATCCTCTTCCCCAGCCTTCAGACAGGTGTTTTGATACGTTAGAAACATAGGAAGTTGCCTTATACTGGGTCATACCATTGGTTCAGCTAGCCCAGAATTGCCAAGACTGACTGGAAAGAGTTCTCCAGGTTTTCAAAGAGGAATGTTTCCAACCTTATCTAGAGATGGCCCATCTCTAATCAGGAACCTTCTGCATGTAAAATGTACTCTGCTAATGAGCCATGTCTCCTCCCCTACTGTTTGTAGTGATCTTGCTGCCTGTGTTTGGTTTAGGATGAGAGCAACTCAATTGATGGTAGCTAGAGAACCCACTGCCTGTTCTTTTCCTCTTTGACTTTAAGGCAACTCTTCAAATTGTTACCAGTGGTGCACTGTCATTACTGCTGCTCCTCCAAAAAAGACTTCCTGCATGAAATCCTCATATGGATATTTATCAGATGTCTGCTGCTCTTACTTTTTGAAGAACTAATTCCTGACAGCAGACATAGCTGTTTGAACAATCAAATATATAGGCTTACTTATAATAGTTTAGTTTTGCGTGCAAATAAATGTATTAATAGAGAAATACATAGGTTATAACTTAAACTTGATAGTGCCTGTCACAGAACTGTAATTATTTTTAATAATTATTTTAAGATGAAATATGAAAAGTTTTTTTCAGAATTACAAAGTGGTTAACCTGCATATTCTTCATCTGGAGCTTTATCAGCAACCTCTTTACTCACTCAGTAAAAAACAGAAGAGCTAGTTCTCAAACTTGTCTGCAGGAACCCATGCTGTATGCATACATAAGTAGAATTTATCCCAGTGTTATTAGCTGTTTGCTATTCAATTATAAAATAGATCTTTCATTATAAAATAGTAATGTAGCAGACGCCTCTGTTACCCATCAAGTCCATACCTATAAAAGATGCAACAGGGCAAAAATGGCCCTTCTGCAACTTAAATTCCTACAAATGGTTTACTCCATTGACCAGGTAGCTACATTATTTGACAAATTTGTAGTATTTCATAGATGTAGAGTGTGCGTGTGTATATTAAAAATACACTTATATACGGTTATAGGGTTGGAATGTGTATTTTGGAAGCTGCTATGAACACTTAAGAACACCCATTCTAACAACAGTTTTTATATATATAGGTAAATCAATACTTTGTAGCAAAGAAATCCCAGCACAGGATTTAAGGAAGCTCTGTGAACGGCTCCAAGGAAAAGGTACTTTCACCGACGTTTCAACATGTGATGTACAGATTGGTCCTTCTCTGGAACCTACTTTGCCACTTGACATTTCAGAGTCTGCAGTTCAGCCACACAAAAAACAGATACAATATGAGAAGCAAACTTGTCATGAAGGTGATGGCATAGATATTAAGGCTATGGAAAAGACACCTGATCTGAAAGGATGGGACAAAGTTCCTGATGAGGCCTATAACCTTCTTGATAAACTACTAGACTTGAATCCTGCTACAAGAATAACTGCAAAGGATGCTTTGCTGCATCCTTTTTTCAAAAATACGAAGCAATGAAAAGACACGACTCTGTATTGTGTATTTATAAGTAATACAAACTGGAATTCATTAGACATATCTTTAAATGATATTAATCCTCTCAAAGATCTTGCTTCCACCTATTTGGGCTTCAGGGTAGCCTCTGTACTGCTGTAACTGAAGTAAATACATTTCTGTTTATGGGACAGATTTTTTTCATGATATATTGAGCCATGTCCAAGTGCTTTTGATTCTGTTGTACCATTGGGGGTACATCTGTAGCTGTAATGAACCCCTGCAGGCCATTTGTACCCTAGAATGGTGCTGGTGCAGTCTGTATACATAGCCAGGAGCAATATCTGCTTGGGGTTCTTTTGTACCATGCTGCCTTTGATTTCTAGGAGCACATCTGCTTTCAGCACAGTTTCTAATAGTACAACCCTCTCTTAGATAGCTGAACAGTGAGTTAGGTGACAGATAACCAATGTAAGACTATGACAGAGGAAAAAATAACTTTTCATGTACATATTTACTTGGATTTCTCACCTCACAGATGTAAAAGCTGGTAACAATGATAATTTATGTTCCTCTCTAAAAGGCATATAATTTGCATTGAAAGATATATAATTTGGATTGCATACTGGTCATTTTGGTGTGCCACTGGTCATTTTGAATATTGCACACCCAGTCACAGCCTGTTGTCCTTTTCTAAACAAAGGACCTATACAAGAGTTGTTTAACATTCACACAATATACATTCCTTGGATTTACACAACATGACAACCTGACCCCACATATGCAAATCTTGGCCAGCAAACCCCTAGCCCACAATAATTTAAATGACCCTAGGTGGGCTAGAGTTGTTTTGAACCTGTGAACCAGGTCATTGCTCCTCTTTGCTAGAAGAAATTGAAAATTATGCAGTTTAGGGAGCATATAATAGTGTTTTTTAAAGGTTTATGTAATTAAACACATGTTGGGTGTCATGTGAAGTATCTGCAAACATAACTGCTGTAGTAACTTGTTAATATTCAGATTCAAAAACTCTGCTTTCCTTTCCCAACTTTCCTTCTTTCCTACCAATTTAGTTATCAAGACTTACGTAATTTTCATGCCATTAATGGCTACTGAAATTAATAAGGAGGGCATCTCATAATAGAGATTTGCTTGTTGTGAATCATTGAAATAGCAAACAGTGATGTCCATGTATTGAAATGTTTTATCTTAGGAAATATGACCCTTTCTCTCCATAAACTTAAAAGGTTTAGACCATTCCTTTGTGTTATATAGTTCATATTTTTTCTTAGAAAAGCAATAGAAATGTATTGCCAATGCCTATCCCTCTGGTTTTTTGCATAGCACATAAAATTGTTAGAATGTGTTATAAACTGTGATGGCTTTGCCAGAGTAACCAATGTATCTTTTATCAAAGTAAGAATTATCTGTATTTCAGAAAAATATTAATGAGCAACAGGATTTCTTGAGACTCTCCCCCTATTTTCTTTGTTATTAAAAAAACCCACGCTTTTCAGGTAGCTTCACTACACCATAACTTGCCATTATATTGAATTTAGAAAGGAAAATAAGATAATTAAGGGCATAATTGTGCCCTAAGACTACTTCCATTTTGGTAAATTGACCTCAGTTCTGAGCCAAACACTAATCCTAAACAAAAGGATTAAAATGCATATTCGTGCAGTAGTCATCCTGGCTCAAAAATGCATTTTTATACTAATATCTGTGGAGGGAAGGTCATGTTTGACCTAGGCTACAGCATGTTGGAATGCATCCCTGAGGCCTATATGAAATGCAGTCATGTTAGTAGAGGGTTATGTTCAAGGGAACACAACAAAACTAGGGGTAGTGTTAGTCTTGCGGCATAAAGGGTATGCATGTGCCTCTATTTCCTACAGAGCAGAACTGCTTTTGCAAGATGTTTACTTGTCCAAAACTAGAATATCAGAAGTATTTTTATTTTTATAGAGAAATTTTGATAAAACTTGTGAATCTTATTTACATTGAGAGAAGGGGTAAATAAAGTTCATTTTCAAGTAATTCATCAATTAAAGAACTTCTCAGTATTGTTCCCAATCTGCATTTCATTTTCATCATTAAAATTTGTGTAAGTGAAGCTAAGAATTACAATACAAGCACATAATTACATCATTGGTCCTGTTCTTCTGAATAAGATGAGTAAACATGGAAATCATCAAAATTGCTCTATTGGTACCTCTAGTATTTGTCATTTTGTGCAAAATATCAAGATGCAGGTTCTTAAGGTAACTCATGTCTTACACCACCTCAGTAATTCTCTCACAGAAGAAATGATGCTACTCATCTTAACACTTTCTAAATACAGTTCAATGATGGAATAATTAATTGCAGATAACTGTAGATAAAATTTTTAGTAGAATAATACTTGGATTCAAATCTTTGAAAGCCTGCAGAGATGGCCTCTTTTACTGCTTTTGGCATCAGCTGTTAGAGATAAATACTAGCAGATGTCAGAATATTGATTGCAGAAAGTCTTGAAACCCTCAAAACCCTGGGGCCTAGGTCTTAGTAATTTCTGCTGTTTATGTAATTTCAGCACAGCACATCATTGAGAAGTTATGTATCTAAAGAATCTGTGGCCAAATTTAGCAGGCAGAGAGTTCTCTGCCAGCGCTTATAGATGTATTGCTTCTTCCATCATTCTTGCATTTTGTTAATGAAGTTACTAGAATATTAGTTAACACCAGCAAAGTGTTCAATTTTCATGGTAAATCTGAAAGTGATTTAGGGGGTTGGGGAGCAGTAGGGTGGGATGGGTGGTTTTGACTTTGCAGAAGTTGCATAGCCTGCAGTTGGGTAGTTAATATTTTTATAGAATTACATCTGTTAAGTATGTAATTCTTACTTAATTAGGAAAGATAAGGTTTTTTCTGCCTGTTTTGGAATTCTGAAGGAAAGAGTTGGATTCTTAGCACTAGCCGCTGATAAAGACTTGTAAAAATGACTTAACCTTTCTTGCCCTGTGTTCCCAGAAAGAGCAGCAGGATTGCTGTCACCTTTACACTGAATCAGCTTATAATAGGTGCTGATTTACTTCTTTTTCTTTTAAAAGCAGTGCTTTTTTTGTAAGAAAAAAGGTGCCGGAACTCACATCTTGTTAATATTTTATTAAACAAATTATATATTCAGTTCTTAATATTCTGCCCTTTTTATTAGCAGGACCGGTGCTTGAGAAGTAATTAGTAATTTTTTCATTTCTAAATTTGGGGTCACTTTTACACTAAAAATTAAAAGATTTTCAATTCAACTTTTTTTTAAAATAAATTATTTACCTTTCACACGTAGTCACTCACTGTACACACACCCACACACATCAGTTGTATAACGAAACATAACAGTTGCAGTCCACAGTAAGCACTCAGCGCACGAACACATGACCAATCACAAGCCGAGCAGCGCCACAAGCCGAGCGCACAAGCCATCACAACCAGTGCGGACAAAGTACACATGCATCGAACTCTTTTAATGATTTTACTGCCAAGCTGCTACGCTCGACAGGGCGATTCAAATCCACATGGACCAAACATCAAATTTTCAAAAAACGGAAAATCCGTTGAAAAAAGGTGCCGGAATGCTGTTCCGGTGCATTCTATGACAAAAAAAGCACTGTTTAAAAGTAACAGTTAACCTGCTGCTTCTGGCAACAGCTGCTTTTGCCTAGTCAGGAGAAAGTAGCTGCTGCCAGAGTAAGCAAGTTATTGCTGTCAAAAAGTAAGGATAGGATGTGTTTTACAGCAAAGGTAGCTTCTACTCCTTTCCTCTTTGGAAGTATGAAATGTAGTAAGCCTAATAGGATGAGCTACTTCCAGCTCAATTCCTGTACTTTCACCTGACACAAGGAAGAATGCTTTGTTCCTTGTAATTTAAGAATAGGCATGAGACTTTTAAATGTACCCTTTCCTTCATTAGGAAGTTAATGTGTGAATCAGCCCACAATCTAACACCATTTGTTTAAAATAATGCAGCAAATGCTGAATAACGGAACCAGTGAGAATGTAGTAAATGAAACCAGCAATTTAAAAATACAGAAATACGTCACACAGAAGGTGGAGTGTGGGGAGGGGGTAGAATTAAACAGCAGAATATGCTGTTTTTCTTTCTGTTAGGAGCACCCCCACCCCCCTGCCCGGGCATGTGCAATCAATAGCAGCTTTAGGAGAAAAGATATTCCACTCTTTCTCAAAATGATACTTCCTGCATCTGTATCAACCTCTCAAGCTGCTGTAACATTTTATATACCCATTGGAAGAATATCTGCAGGTAGAAAGGGAGATCATCCCTCACAAGCTGACTCTGGAAGGCCACATGATCCCTAATCTCTGATTTAGATTAAAACTTGAAATTCTGTGGGAGTCTGTGGAGTCTCAGAACGTTTTATTTATTCATTTAAAACATTTCTACGCCGCCCCATCGCAAAAAATTAACATAAAAAAACACCATACATTAAAACCCCAGTGCAATAAAACCCCAGTGCCATAAAACCTCAGTAAAACCTCAGTGCATTCTCGGCTAAAAATTAAAAAAAAAAAAAACCTAGTTAAATAAATTAACAATTAAAATAAGTTTTAAATAAAAAGGTCTTAGCCTGGCACCGAAAAACAATGACGGTGCCAGGCGGACCTCTCTGGGGAGCACATTCCATAAATGGGGCGCCACCGCCAAGAAAGCCCTCCTCCGGGTACTCACCTTCCTGATGTCATTCACAGATGGTTCCCGGAGTAGGGCATCTGCTGCTGACCTCAAGCGGTGGGAGGGCATATATGGGAGCAAGCGTTCCTTTAAGTATCCAGGTCCCAAGCCATTTAGGGCTTTATAGGTCATAACCAACACCTTGAATCGGGCCCGGACTTCAATCAGGAGCCAGTGGAGCTGACGGAGAACTGGGGTTATAAGAGAACAACGCCCAGTCCCCGTCAGCAGCCTGGCAGCTCTATTTTGCACCAATTGAAGTATCCGAACCGTCTTCAAGGGTAGCCCCAAGTAGAGTGCATTACAGAAATCTTAATTGGGAAGTTACCAGCACGTGTGTCACTGTCAGCAGGTAGTCATTCTCCAGGAAGGGACGCAGCTGATGGATCAGCGGAAGCTGAAGGAATGCGCTCCTCGCCACTGCTGTCACCTGGGCTTCCAGAGACAGCTCAGGGTCGAGGAGCACTCCTAAGCTGCGAACCCTGTCCCTCAGAGGGAGTGCAACCCCATCCCAAGATCTGATCCACCCACCAACAGGACCTCCGTCTTGTCTGGATTGAGCTTCAGTTTATTGGCCCTCATCCAGCCCATTACCTCGACCAGGCACCGGTTCAGCACAGCCACTGCCTCACCTGGATTGGTGGAAAACGAGAGGTAGAGCTGGGTATCATCAGCGTACTGATGATTCCGCAGCCCACACATCCTGATGACTTCTCCCAGCAGTTTCATGTAGATGTTAAAAAGCAAAGGGGACAAAATGGACCCCTGTGGAACTCCATGGCATAGCTTCCATGGCGCAGAGCCATAGTCCCCCAGCACCACCTGCTGAAATCGGCCATTGAGGTAGGAGCAGAACCACCGCCACGCGGTGCCTCCAACTCCCAATCCCGCCAGCCTATTCAGAAGGATACCATGGTCGATGGTATCGAAAGCCGCTGAGAGGTCCAGGAGAACTAACAGGAACGCACTCCCCCTGTCTCCCTGCACAGGTCATCGTACAGGACGACCAAGGCAGATTCAGTGCCATACTCGGGTCTGAAGCCGGACTGAAATGGGTCCAGATAGTCAGTTTCATCCAAGAGTGCTTGGAGTTGTCCTGCCACCACCCGCTCTAGTACCTTGCCCAGGAACGGGATGTTGGCCACCAGTCTATAATTGGCGGCCACCTCTGGATCCAGGGATGCCTTCTTTAGGACTGGCCAGACTACCGCCTCCTTTAAAGGGGCAGGTACCCGGCCGTCTCTTAAGGAGGCATTGACCACCTCCAGGATCCAGTTCCCAATCCCGTCCTTGGCTTTCTTAAGTAGCAAAGATGGGCATGGGTCTAGTAAGCAAGTGGTAGGACGTACTTGTCCAAGCACCTTGTCCACATCATCAGGCCGCAACAACTGAAATTCATCCATTAATTGTGGACTCGACAGCGTTGATGGCGACTCCCCAGTGAAATCTGATTCAATAGCAGAGTCAAGCTCGTGGCGAAACTGAGTGATTTTCTCCCTAAAATGCTTGGCAAAGTCGTCACAGCAGGCCTTCGAGGGTGGCACCAGATCTCTCTTCTAAAACTACATTTCCCATTTCACTGTTGGGAAATGTAGTTTTAGAACTACATTTCCCAACAGTGCCTGCTGTGAGCATCTCTGGGAAGAAGGGTCAGAAGTGAAAGGGAAAGGGGATTACAGCTGGCTCTAAGTTTCAGAGGATCTTTGGAGATGATACTCCCTCAGTGAATTTACCTACTGATAAATAAAGGTCACCACCTTTACTGCTGCTCATCCACTTTCTTGCTTTGACAGGCAAAGACCCAGTTGTTACCTGAAACATACTCTCTCACAACGCTTAGGCTAACCACTTAGCCTGAAATCTGCAGCCATGTTGTACTTCCTGTCCAGGAGGGAGGGGGGAGGTATGGAGAACCCTGTGTGAACTCCTGGGACAGGATGACTGGATGTCAAAGAGGGTAAATGAGAAGTATCTTTGGAGCCTGGGACCAGTTGGAATCCGGGTGAAGCCTCCATAAAAGTAGCAAATTGCATTATAAATTACTAGTAGGTGAGAAACATAGAGCGGATGTGAATAATCCAGAATAATCAACAGACACATTAGAAAGGGGAGTCTCTGGATAAATAAAGAGTTTTCTGTAAACTAACAAATAGAACAAAGAATAATGGGGAAATGAATTTACTTCATATCCGGGCAACATGTTATGACATAGGGTATATAATGTATGTTCTCTGTACCTCTTTCGAGACTCTCATTTGGGAAGCATCTCCCCTCTGTCTCTGTTTATTCTATAGTGCACCAGAATAAAACTGCAATTAGCTCTAAGTCTTGTCTCGGGCTCTGTTTGGTTTTGGGTCTGGGGTCCACCCGGGGTTTGCCCCAGCTGTTAACTGGTTTCAGTCTGGTAACAGTTTCGGCGCCCAACGTGGGGCACCGAGCAGACTAAAGGCGAATTTTGCCTCAAAATTCTTAAGCCCTCTCCCTCAACCTCTTTTCGGATGGGTGGACGACCGGCATTAGAGAGCTCTCCTCAGCATTTGGGCTGAGGCAAATTTGGCCGGAAACCTCCACCAGCCGTGAGCAGGGCTGGAGGAAAGGGTGGCTGAGAGGAAAAC